CAGGGTGGGAGCCTGTTGCTAGTAGCTGGTTCATTTGGTTCATTTGTCCAGTTTTCTGACACTCCTCTTCTATGTGATCTAAATGTATTAACTAGTTCTTTACTGACCTTATATCTAACAGTGGTTAATCCCCTTTTTTCTGTCAAAGAATATCTGTTGTTACAATATTTTCAGCCCACTAGCCACACTAGTTTGTTCACATTTGTAGGCACGTTTTTTCATTTTTAATCTTAGCTAATAAAGTTCTATTATAGTGTTAAGAAGTGGAGCAATGTTAGAGCTAAAGGACAAAACCCCTTTCCCACATGCAATCAAGTAATAAAAAAATAAATTTATACTTATATTGCTTGTTGCTTAATATCCCAATTCAAGCTCAGCATATATGGGAAAAAATATATGAAAAGGATCATAGAACAGATCTGCATGGATCAGTGAATATTATTGAATTCTATAAACATTGAATTAAATCAGCTTAATTAGCTGGATGAAAGTTTATTACAGTATTACCACAAATTAAAAACAGAAGATAATAATCAATACATAACAGGCTATAAAAAGTAATAAAAGAATGATAATAATAAGAACATAAAATACACCTAAATTTACTGTTTAGTTGACATATGTTTAGCAGATTACTGCTTAATTGATGCAACAGTGAAGCCAAACACTCTCAAAATGTATAGCAGGTTACTGCTTACTAGATGTGGTGGTGAGTATAACGGTGAATAGGCTCTGCCCCCTTATTGACGTACTTCCGTGTCTACGCGTTTCTCCGTTCACAGACGGCTTCGTCAGAACGTGAAGTGCTTGATTGTTCTCCCTCTCTGGGAGCTTTTATGTACCTTGCTTTACACACAATTAGTGCATTTGAATATTGTCCACATGTGTTTGGCATCCTTATCAATAAACATTGATTTATCTTATAAAACATTCTTTTTTTATTTTTCATTTCCATTTATAGCAAAATATACATTTAGCAAATTTTTTAATGCAGTACATTCAATATATATGCAATAATACCAATAAAAAAGATTTAAAAATTAAAATAGTTCAACATAATCTATTAAATAGCCCTAATCATCTAACCACAATCAATAGAATACATCCAATAAAAGCACTTATATTTCAATTAAAGATACCTAGTTCAAAAATAGAGAAAGAGAAAAGGAAACAACATATGTTATTGTTAGTCCATCATTATTACAGTGTAATTTCATCTTGTTATTTAAAGTGACACAATTGCAATGTCTTTTCATATTATACAGACAAAATATACATTAGAAACAAGTAGAATGTTCAATGGACACATTAGTAGCTTATTTAAAACGGAGCCTGAGTGGATCTCCAGACTTATACTGATTTAAAGGAACATATCCCTCCAAAACAGTCTAGAGGAATATATCTCTCTAAAACAGCATAAAAATATATATATACAGATACACCTCCAAAAAGTGTATTGTATAGAAAAATATATATATATATATAGAATCATAAAAAATGACAGATCTCAAAATCATTGTTCATTCCGTGAGGAATGAGAGTGTTCAACTCAAATATCCACCTCATCTCCGTACGGCCTAAATTCTGGATCAAATTGCCTCCTCTCCAATTGTTATTGATCTGTTGGATCCCTATTAATTTTAAAAGGGATGGATCAGAATTATGAAACTCCTCAAAATGTAGAGACACTTGATGTAATTGGTATTTTCTCTTTATGTTATAGGTGTGCTCACATATTCTTGTTTGTAACTGTCTAGTTGTCCGGCCTATGTACCTGAAACCACATGGGCAAAGTAACATATATATCACATTCTTTGTTTGACATGTTATAAGTTCTTTTATTTTGTATGTTTTTCCATTCGCCACAAACTCTTTAATGCTTTGTTTGTTGCTGCCCGAAAGGCATTGCAATAGCCACATCCAAAAAATCCCTTTAGTTGACTCATAAAGTTTGAATTAGATAGGTTTTTATTTGAGATATTGTTGGTCAAAATCATTTTCATATTCTCCACCCCTCTATGTATTATTCTTGGGATAGGAGGTAGGAATTTTGTTAAAACAGGATCTTTTAGTAACCAATTTTTTATTGGTATTATTGCATATATATTGAATGTACTGCATTAAAAAATTTGCTAAATGTATATTTTGCTATAAATGGAAATGAAAAATGAAAAAAGAATGTTTTATAAGATAAATCAATGTTTATTGATAAGGATGCCAAACACATGTGGACAATATTCAAATGCACTAATTGTGTGTAAAGCAAGGTACATAAAAGCTCCCAGAGAGGGGGAACAATCAAGCACTTCACGTTCTGACGAAGCCGTCTGTGAACGGAGAAACGCGTAGACACGGAAGTACGTCAATAAGGGGGCAGAGCCTATTCAGAAGCCGGGCGTTTCAAAAAAGCAGAAGCAAGACCAGACGCCATCCGGACAAAATAAAAAGGCACCCCACAGACGATCAGCCATCTTCTGGTACAGGAGACATCTCCCAGTGCAGGAAAACCTGTTTGTGGGTAAACGGATTTACACCGTTATACTCACCACCACATCTAGTAAGCAGTAACCTGCTATACATTTTGAGAGTGTTTGGCTTCACTGTTGCATCAATTAAGCAGTAATCTGCTAAACATATGTCAACTAAACAGTGAATTTAGGTGTATTTTATGTTCTTATTATTATCATTCTTTTATTACTTTTTATAGCCTGTTATGTATTGATTATTATCTTCTGTTTTTAATTTGTGGTAATACTGTAATAAACTTTCATCCAGCTAATTAAGCTGATTTAATTCAATGTTTATAGAATTCAATAATATTCACTGATCCATGCAGATCTGTTCTATGATCCTTTTCATATATTTTTTCCCATATATGCTGAGCTTGAATTGGGATATTAAGCAACAAGCAATATAAGTATAAATTTTTTTTTTTTATTACTTGATTGCATGTGGGAAAGGGGTTTTGTCCTTTAGCTCTAACATTGCTCCACTTCTTAACACTATAATTTCTATTTTTTGTATGTAGTGAAGGGATCACTTTGAAGTGTGGTAGCAGGCAATTAAAGAGATACTGTGTAATACACAATTGTTAAATAACTCTACTTTACCCCTGTAGAACTGTGTATATTAAGCGCTCCAGTATTGTAAGTTTTTTCTGTAATAAAGTTCTGTGTTTTTATCCTAATGAAGTGGCTTCTACCCATTTATAGTAATCTCGTAGTGAAACTTCCACTCTGCTGGGTTTCTCTAACAATTTTTTGCTATGTGTGTGTGTGTGTGTGTGTGTGTGTGTGTGTATGTATGTATTATATATATATATATATATATATTCTAACCACAGTTAATATATACATATTTATTACACTATATGTCATAAATTATTGCATTTACTATAAACTGCTCCACAGAGCAGTATGCAATTTCTCATTAAGTGGAGCAGATGCTTGTCTGGACTTTTTAGGGGCCCAAGGAATGCATGTTTATGCAACCAACTGGTAACACAACTGGAATCAAAATACACATTTTACCTATGTGCTATATATGTACTTCTTTAAATGGCTTGCAGTCATATTCTTCAATATCACCCAAAAATATTAATAATCAATCTAAGCAAGCGCTTTTGTCCAGAAAGTCAGTGAATAGTCCACTTGTCCTATGTCTACTGATTTATATAGTTGTGACTCAATCCTCTTGGTATACACCCACATTTCAAACTTCTCATGGTACAGTACAGCAAATTACCATCTGTTCTTTTTAACCTATTATACATCACTACCAAATATGAACATAATAGGAACATAGAATATGCAATTCTACACAAAGCAATGTAGAATTGAAAGCAATTATGGTAAGGTTTACATGGATCATAAAATCTCATTACTGGATTGGTTATCAGTTCCAATTTTGTTTAATTTTTTTTCAGGAGTGACAACTGTACTTACTATGACAACCATTAACACCCATCTGCGGGAAACACTTCCCAAGATCCCATATGTAAAGGCCATTGATGTTTATTTGATGGGATGCTTCGTTTTTGTGTTCTTGGCTTTGTTGGAATATGCCTTTGTTAACTATGTATTCTTTGGGCGTGGCCCCCAACAACAGAAAAAGCTTAACGAGCGGACAAACAAAGCAAATAATGAACGGCATCGTTATGAAGAGAGGAGGGTAAGAGAGCAAGTAAGTAAAACTTCACACCCACTTCAAGTTTATAGTAACTTGAAGAAACTACTTTCCATAAAAGGAGTCACAGATAAGTAAGACATATAAAGAATACTATAATGCTTCTGAAACTAAATGACCGACAAAAGTCAAGATTTTGAAAGCTATTCATGGATTTATTTCTCCATTAAATAAATAATTTCTCTTTCTAGGTTGATGCTTATGGAAACATTCTTCTGAGCACTCTTGATATGAGTAGTGAATTGATGTCGGCCGATATGGGAAGTAGTATTGGTGACTCCCGGAACTCCGTCCTGTCGTATGATACCTCAGGGATTCAGTTCCGCAAGCAGCTGACCTCCAGGGGGGACAGTTTTGGCCACACGCCCCTTGAGCGCCATGTGCCCTTAACTGGCACACGTGGACGTACCAACTGCCGATTGCGGCGACGTTCCTCTAAGTTAAAGCTGAAAATTCCGGACCTAACAGATGTCAGCACCATTGACAAATGGTCCAGGATCATTTTCCCTATTACATTTGGATTTTTTAACCTAGTTTACTGGATGTATTATGTCAACTGAGGCATATTCATTGCCCCTACTCCCACCCAGAGATGCACATCCCTTTTTCTGCCACAAGACACAAGCTTCACTGGAGCCTCATTACCTCCTGCGATATGGTTTGATTTTTGGGCAGGGGAGAGAAGCATTCTTTGTATCTTAAAAATAGGGGGTAAGGGATTTGCACTTTTTGTCATATTTTTTCACCAAATTCCCTTTTTTTTTTTTTTTTTTTTAATGGAGCAAATGGTTGGATGTTATAGGCCAATCCAGATGCTAAGATGAATATACTTCTTACTTCAGACTTCTTGATTAGAATGATAAAACCAATTCCATACATGAAGAATAATTTTTAAACATTATAGGTAGGTGGAAACATTTAGTGTGTGGGATGAAGAACATGCAAGAGTTTGAGAGGTTTATTAATACAGGGTTAAAACTTTCAGTGCTACAAAAATCCAGAGCTGTTCATATTTATATGTAAAGAATTATGTCCTTGCAGAAGCTCTGTAGAGTAAAATGTTTCTAGCACAGTCATCATCAGCATGTAATTACTTTTGGAGGAATCTATGTGTTTGGGTAAAATGCTAATCATGAGTGTTGAATAATCAGATTTGTTTAAAAATCTAATGCTAAACTGCATCCAGAACTGTGTTGGAAAAAAAAAAAAATAAGTGCCAAATCTCGACAAAACTTGAATACAAGCATATTTTGGATTACAAGAGAGTGCAAGACTGTAACAAGAAAATGAGGTACTGTGCCAAATGGAAGCTAAAGACAGAAAATATTTTGTAAAACTAATTGTGAAATGGTTTCTGTGACAAAAGTGTTCTGTTGCTGAATACAAAAAAAAAAGTTTTCATTGTAAATCAAAATATTGTGCCAAAGCATCATCAACATGATGCCTACTGCTCTAAAGGCTAAACATCAATAAAAAAAATGTAAAAGTCATTGCTAACCACATTCAGAAACGTATAATAAATCAGATGCATGTTATATGACAAAAACATACACATATTTAAGATTGCATCTACTTTCAAACAATATTCAAATTTAAATAAATACAAGATCAGAACAAATTGTTACATGGCAAATGATTGTCAAGAACTGAAGATAAACTACTTGAGGAAACATGTAAAATAAAAAACACCATTAAGAGTTAAACATTTTTGAAACAGAAACAGGTAGTCTTGCTGTAGGTAGAAAGTAAAGGAACAGTCTGAAAATAGTTTTTTCTACCAAATCTTTACAATACTGGGCCTGAAGGACATGCCATAAATATTTACAACAATTGATCTATAATTTACAAATAAAGTGCCAACTTAAAACAAACAAAACTGGCTCAGGGACATGACAGGTGCCAAATCTAAAACAGTTATAGGCATACCTAAAATAAAGTTGCCAAATTTGAATTTAAGACTGGATTATAACACTCATCTCAAGAGATTAAAATGAGTAGCCATGATTAAAATAAATTTAATTGGTGCCATATTACAGTGATCCATATCTAGTAGGTAAATCATAATGCTCTACAATCTGGGGAAACAAGTTACCAACCTAAATATAAACCGGAAATAATGAAATTATTTGAGAATAAACTTAAACCCCATGACACATTTGCGTAAAACAAATGACATAACTTGACTGTTTTCTTTGTAGCCAGCAAACCGGTGCAAATGAGCATATTTTCTGTTGATTTCCAGACAAAAAGCTGCTGTAATGCTAACGCACTCCTAGGGATATTGCTAGTAATAATTTTATACATTTAACTTCAAAAATAATGATTTATATTAGCATCATCACAACTGTTTTTGGTAATGCAATTCTGATTAGGTCCAAAGGGTCAAGAAAGCCTTGCAACATTTATTTCTGGTCTTAATCTATTCCCTTTCTGGCCACAATGTAGTAGACAATGTAGACCCATATATGGTGTCTTTTTTTATTCTACTGTGGAGCAATATAAGAGCAGGGAAATAGCGATATCATATAATACTAGATAATGGGGTCAACAATCTATGACACACATATGCACATCAAGCAAAATGCCAAACATTCGGCACTAGTGGTAATTGCAGCAGGTGGTGAGAGACAATCCTCACATTACTCATTGCAGTTCTTGGAGGAGGTGATCTCGGATCACTGTTTCCTATTGCTCGTGAAGGGGAATCTGCACTAGAGGATTAGCTGCAGCACCAGCCCTTGCCCTGTACCTGGCGAGTCAGGTTCCCACTTGACCCCAGGGAAGCCACCCACACAGCCAGAGCAGACATAGCTGCAGAAGAAGCCTCCACCATATGAAAATAATGCAAACAGCCCACGTGTAAACACACACAGCCCCCACAAATGCAACACTACTGACAACCATCATGCTCGTACACAACACCACAAGCAGCCTCCTAAATAGAGTACCCCACGCAGACCCCATACATATACACAACATCACACACAATATGACATATAACCCCCACACACAATCTCGTAAGCAGCCCCCACAGTCCACATTTACACACATAATATGGCACTCATCCTGCATGCATATGTAACACACACAATACCATGAACTGCTCATACACAATATAACACAGCATGCATACAAACAAATACAACCATAAAAAGCAGCTACAGGACTCAAACATAACACAAGACATATGACAGCATATGTTAATTTAAAAATATATAACTGGCACGCCAAGGACTTCAAAGTCTTGATTTGGCAGAATGCTGCTAAACGGTTATCTACTCCTGTACTAGGCTCTCAGGATTGTGCTGCCCCTAACACTGTTAAAGATAGTCAGTACAGGATTTGGAAGGTTACATGTAGTGTCAGGGGTCCTGCAAAGGTCAAAGCCTGTGATTTCCCACCCATAGAATTAGCTTAAACCTGCCTTTGTATATAACCTTAATAAACTAAGAAGCTAATTCACAAAATTATGATTGGAAATTGACTTAAGCCTAATTAAGGTTTAATAGATGACAATTTTCTGAAGGGAAGTTGGTTTTATAATTTGATACACTTAAACAACCTTCTGGCATCTCTGAGCTCTTACCAGGCAAGCAGTCTAAAATAATTTTAAAACGTTAGTGGATCCCTATAACACTAGCTAAACATTTAGCTACACGATTTATGGTGGGCTGAAAAAAATATAATACTCCAAAATACAGTATTATATTTAAGTTTGGGCTAACAGTAATGAGCAGAAGCACATACTTCCTGCTACTCACTATCCCATGGGATGAAGTCCTCTATATCCCTATCAATTATATGCTAGTTTTGAGCTCCAGTCTGTACAAATTTGCTGGCGCTATATAAATAATAAAATAATAATAATATCCATCTGTTTTTCCAGCTCCTGACCTCATTGTATGTGTGAAATAGTTTAATCACGTAGCAAACAAATATCAGTAAATTACCCCTCAACATAAATGCAAAGGATCTGCCAAAACCCAGGATTCTAATACTATTATTTTTTTATTTATTTTTTAAATACAGAGTTAACAACGTTATGGTAGCCAAGCCTCCTCTCAAGAAACAATAAAAGTGTGTCTGAATATAAATAATTGCTGCATTTGAAAATAATATGTGTAGAAATATATGTATATTTGTACAGCTGGTTGGAGACTTAGTTGCAAAGCAATATGATTTTTATTTTCAATCATATTGCACATTGATTTCCCATATAATAAATGTAAGTAGAAATTGAAAAAATTTTTTTTCCATATTTTATTCTTACCCCATCACTTAAAGTGAGAAGATAAGAGAAACCACAAGACTTCCTCTTGGTTATGCCAATTACCTTTCGTCCCAAGGAGTAAGTAACATCCTGCTCATCATTATAACCCACCAACCCAGAATATGATAACAGTTCGGTCATACACCCTATTATGGACATACTTGAAAATGAGAGAAATCTAAATGTATCTTTCCTGGTAAAATATTTTTATAAATAATTAATACAGGTGGTTTCTCGTGATTTTGTGGGTAGTTTAGCAGGTCCACTTTTTAAAAATATATTTTAATTGTCTAGATTATTTACATTCTAGGAAAAACAAGAAAAGAGCGAGTGAGCCTTTTATTTTCACTGCATTCTTGGTCATTTTTTGTTTCTACTATATAGTTAACATGTTTAAATAAACCATTCAAGAATGCATACTTTACAGACGATCAGCATCAAGAGATTTTTAAGTGTCACTTATGTCATCTTTTTTTTTTAGACAGCTTTCATAGGCATATTTTCCCCATACATGGCTATTAGTAAATAGTTTGAGTATGGCCAGTATGAGCCTTAAACCTTTTTTTTCCAATTCACTCTCCTTTAATTGTCTGTTTAAAAAGTATACTGTTTGTAGCTAGATCCCAACACATTTTGGCATCAGGTTTTCATGGAATTTATCATTATTTAATATGCAAGATTGTTAGTCCACCCATTGTACAGTGCTACGGAATTTGCTGGCATTATATAAATAAAATAATAATAACTGTCACTGACAATGTATTTTACTCTAACTGTAACAATCTAGGATTATCTGGTTTACAGAAAAACTGCTAAGGCTTGACAGATTAAACTTAATTTTTTTTTGTTATTTAAGACTTTAAAAATAGATTTTTTTAAATAAAAAAAACATTGTATATATTTACATTATGTTTAAGCTTTGTAACTCTGCAATTACAGGGTATGTTTAGAACCAGCAAACATACTTCAGAGCATGTTTGGAAGTTGGTGTATATATGGTAAATATCAAAGAACCTAGGAAAATGCCACAAACCTTGCCATGTGCAGAAAACTACGGTATACAGTTACATTTACAATATTATTAAGTAAGGCATTCTTTAATTGCAACCCAAATAATCGTAAAAGGGCTGACTAACAAAGCTGTGTCCAGCCTTGCCCCATTTTGGCTATAAGGGGAGATTAATGTACGACACATATTTGAACCACCTAACTCTGAAACCAAGCAGTATTTCACCAAATCTGGCTAAATATGTCAGGAAGAAAATCTTGCTATGTATTTTATTATAAAAGGACAATTTTAATACATTAGTATGGAATTCTATTAAGCTGTTCCAAACTGATCAGACGAAAACTGTGAAAGATGAAAATATGACCTGTTTTAGAGCCTGTACAATGTGGATTCCTTTTTTAGACAGACGTGCTCTTTGCTGAATTATGTTGTGAAGCAGACATTTGATGAATGGATTGTATAAAAGTCCATGCACCTATTAGACAAGATTCATTGACATCTAGCATATTTCATATAAAATGGAACACTGACAAAGAAATATGATTCGCTGCTAATTTAAAATCAGACCTAGTGCAAAGGGAATATGAGCTACATTTTTGCAGTAAATCAGCTATGATTAGTTTTATATTTTAATTACATTGTTTCTTAAACTGTCCAAATGATCTTTGTTCTGTGACAGTTAACCAAGTGTTAATCTTTGCTTTTTTACTGCAAAAATGTAGCTCTTATTCCCTTTGCACTAGGTCTGATTTTAAATTAGCAGCGAATCATATTTCTTTGTCAGTGTTCCATTTTACATGAAATATGCTAGATGTCAGTGAATCTTGTCTAATCTAGGGGCCATATAAAAAAAGAACAATAAACAAAAGGGATTATTTTCCATTCCCTATAAATACCATATTGAGACAAAGAGACAATCAAATTACATACCCTCAAATTTATTTTACAGTGAGGAAGAGTTCAACTAGGAACACAATTCTATAAACACTCACAAATTGTGAAACATACCAGTAAAACATGCAAATTTCACATGTAAACATTAAAATAGTACACTGCTAGGAATAAAGGTTGTTTGGTGACTTAACTTGTCAATCACACAGGTCTACAAAGCTCCAACGTGTTTATCACATACATTAGGCATGATGTGTATTTGATTAAATCAGTACCTTTGCAGTATAAACTTTAAGAGCTGGTCTATGATTGAGTATGGAATGTAGTATGGAATTAGTTAGCCCTTATTATCTGAGCTTTCACTTACTACTATACCAATCTACCTGTTATGTAGAGGGCCAAACACAACCTCTACACTTCTGTCTACTATTATGTCAGTGCTGTAGTTGTGTTAGCCCCTTCATGGCAAATGAATTGCCAGGAGTCAGATTGTTAGGCTTTAACATATCAACCTTTGATTTGGTGGGGTTGCAAACACATTGGCATGTATTTAGCCATGAGCACTTAACCGCACATGTATATAGGAAACATGGTGACGTTTATGCTTCTCTTTTGGGTTGAACCACCTTTATTGGCCCCCATCTTTCAATCATACCTCTCAATGTCAGAAAGTATGCTGTAAAGGAATGTGTCACACTCTAATTCATGAAGTGGTTAAATAATATAACTCTGATTTGGAATGTGTCATGGTAGCATTTATTTGCAGCCAATAATCTGACTGTTGTTATTGCTCAGAACTAAGCATCTGCAGCTTTAGGCTTGATTTCACTATCTCTTGCCATCTATGTAAGAGAGAGCAATTAGAAGCAGGAAGTAGTTGCTGGTGATGGGCCAGCAACCACCTTGTTCACTGTCAGGGGTCTTTCCTTGCATTAAAAAGCTATATGGTTCAGTTTCAGCATAACAGCAGTTAACAAGCATTGTAATTATAAAAGTACCGGTAACAGTTATTTACAGCGTACAGTACTACTTACTAGTACTATTTTCATACCCACTTGATCTCATTGTTCCCTTGCCCCTGGAACAAATGCCAGCAAGCTACATCTTATATAAACACAGTTTTTGTTTTGTTTGTTTTTTAAACATAGTAATCACTTAAAGGGACACTCTGGGTACTATAATGGCTTAATCTCAATTACGTTGTTATGGTGTATGGAGGTCCTGGGTTCTGTCTTACCTCATGGGTTTAAACCAGTTTTGAACAATTTAACCCCAACATACATACATATTAGCTATTATGACCATGAAGAAAAAAGGGGAAAAAAACACATTTAAACATGCTTAAAAAAAATGTCTATAGAATATGATAAAAAAAAAAATATTTAGGCTTGGAAGTCAGCATATTTGTTCTTACCATAAACAACATTTTCAAATGCAGTAGGTATAAAGTTGTCCTATGTACTTTCCTGTTTTTGAACAGTACTGTCATATGTACTGTCCTGTTTTTGAACAGATTTTCAGAGAGCTGTTTGTATTAACTTTGAATTTATTTGTATATTCCTTATGAGACACATTTTCTCCAAAGACTACAAATGCAGTTTTTGTAACCTTTATTAATAACTAAAATATTCAATTCCCCTTATTTATTTTGTTATATACCTTGACACTTTTACTATTTCTATGATATAATTCTTTAAAAACAGGTGCCCAAAATTGCTCCACATAATCAAGGTGGGGTTTAACCATGACGTTATAAAGGGGCAATAATTCCTATTATTATTATTTATAATAACTTACTGGCCTTTGCAACTATTGACTGACTGTGCACATCGTTACCTAGTCAGTTGTCTCTAATTATTCCCAAGTCCTTTTCCTATCCAATTTCCTCAACTCAACCAGAATTGGGGTATAATTTGATTCAGGATTCTTCATTGCAAAATGTGCAATTTCATATATTTATATTTACATTGAATCTCATCTACTACTTCCCTGACCAGCCTATTAATTTATCCCAATCTCTCAGAAGAAGAATATCCTGCTCAGAATGGATTACCCTATATAATTGTGTGTCATCCACAGACACTAACATATGAATTCCAAAACTCATTTTGAAACATTTACATTTTATCTAATACTTTAGATAAAATTAGGAATTTCATGTAATCTCTAAAACATGAGATACCAATTTACGAATATATTTAAAATGTAGAGTGTTAATTTTTAAATAATTTGCATAATTGCATTTTTAATTATATCTGATCATTTATGCACAGCATTGATGTTTTATCATACATTTGCACCGTAGCTATGCATCCCATAAATCTCAGTTAAGGTTTTGTGATTTTCACATACAATAGTAAATTGGCAGTGTATAAGGTTAAAGGGACACTATAGTCACCAGAACAACTACAGCTTATTGCATTTTTTCTTGTGAGTATAATCAGTCCCTTCAGACTTTTTGCAGTAAACACGTTTTTTTCAGAGAAAAGGCACTATATACATTACCGCTTATGGATACCTTCAGTGATCACTCCTCAGATGGCTACTAGAAATACTTCCTGGGGGTCTCCACCCTCGGCAAGAAGACACTGAACTTTCCTAATAGAGATACATTGATTCAATGCATCTCTATGAGGAGATGTTGATTGGCCAGGGCTGTGTCTGGCCTGTGCTGCAGCCTCCTTGACACCTTAGCCAATCCAAAGTTTTTCTATGGGAAAGCATTGTGAGTGACTCAGGTCATTACTTCTGATGATAACAGCCAAGAAGGTGGATCAGGGCAGAGCCAGCACTAGCAGACTGGAATAAAAGTAAGAGTTTACTATATTTAGGGGCAATGGAAGGTTAGGGGGCTATATGGGTAAGGAATACATGTTTGCTTTGTGAAAAGATTATCACCTGATTGCAACTAATTCATTTTTCTTTAATAGTGTAAGATTCCATGTGCAAAGTGAACCTGCTCTAATTAACTGATTGGTCCTTAATATTGACAAGGTGTAAAGCAAATTTTGCAAAAGCCTTTTTTGGAAGTCGCCCAAATCAAATGCCTTTTAATCCACACCTGGGTGAATACATTATCTTGAATTAAACTGTGGAGTCTTATTCAATGATTAAAGCTCCACCGGGAAATATCAGATGATATTGTTAATTTGTGTATTAAAAGGTATTTGTTTAGGACAAATACTAGACTTTGCACAAGTCTAGTATAAAATGAACTTGCTCAAATTAACTGATTGGACCTTGGTACTGATATGTTTAAGGGTCTTCCTGCAGATATGCTGTGGCCCTAATAACATTTTAGATTTATTTAATACTAAGATTTCAAAGATATAGCAGACTACACATAAAGGTTCACATAAAGATGCAACAGGAATTATGATGTTATTATTTATATAGCGCCAACAAATTCCACAGCGCTTTACAGTGGGTGGATGAACAGACATGTAGTTGTAACCAGACAAGTTGGACACACAGGAACAATGAGCTTACATGCTAGAAGGAGTGGGGTAAAGGGACACAAAAGGTAAGGATAGTATTAGACTAATGACAGTTGCAAGAGAGGAATCAGTCAGGAGCTATTAAAACAGTTTAATTGATACGCTTTTATGAAGTGGGTTTTTAATGACTTTTTTGAAGGAGTGGAGACTGGGTGAGCATCTAACGGAGGAGGGAAGTGAGTTCCACAGAAACGGTGCAGCCCTCGAGAAGTCTTGAAGGAGAGTATCAGAGGTGGGAGTACGGACAGGAATGCAGCACAGCTTAAATCTCCTTATATGAGACCAGAAAGGTTAATAACATAATATTGTATATTCACTTTTTTCACAGCATAGAATCATAAAAATACACCCTTATAGGTAAAAAGGTAATCTCCCATATATTTGATTATATATATATATATATATAATCGTTCACATTCATATGTTATCACCATGGAGAAATGTCCCCCAAACAGTTATATATGTTAAAATATGGCCTTACAATGGAAAATAAGCATATGATAAAATAATGCATTCCACCATCAGATGTATGTGCCCCCATGACCTACCTATATTGCGCATGTATAAACACACAGGCAAAGAAAAAGAGTGCCAAAACTCAACTTCAAATGGAACATCAAAATTGAAACAAATATAAAACTGAAAAATCTAAATAATAATGAAAAAAATTATAAAAAATGCCAAAGAAGAATAGAAATAAACATACAAATAAATACTAACATTATCAATAAAATTGGAAATTAAAAATAAAAACCAATGTATAAATAAAAAGTAGAAATATATATAAATTAAATATTACATGTAAAAAATATATATAAATAAAAATAGAAAGGTAAAAATAGAAAAATGGAGAAAACAAATATTTGGAATGGAAAAAAAATTGAAAACATGAAAATAAAATGAAAAACAATACTTAAAAAAATAACAAAAATGAAAATAAATTATTAAAATAAAAATGAAAAAAATATGTATGAAAAAAAATGAAATAATCCTGTGTGTATGATCCTGTGGTACTCCATATTCTACACATACACATAAAAAGACTATTGAGAATCAAATAACACTTGTCTGGAAAACCTAAAACTTAAAGGACACTATAGGCACCAAGACCACTTCAGCTCATTCAAGTGGTATGGGTGCAATGTCCATTTTGCACTTAGTGCTGCAATGTGTGTATGTATATATATATAGATATATATAGATAGATAGATAGATAGATATCCCAAGTGATGGTCCGCACTCACGGTCTTCATTTAAAATGTAAATTTTATTGTTCACATAAAAGAACAAAACATTGATACCTTAAAGTATCAACGTTTCAGTCCCAGATCGGGACTTTCCTCAAGACAGCGCATGTCCTGATCTGGGACTGAAACGTCGATACTTTAAGGCAGGCCTGTCCAACCTGCGGCCCCCAGATGTTGCCAAACTACAACTCCCATGATTCTTTTAATGAAACAGATAGCCAGGGAATCATGGGAGTTGTAGATCAGCAACATCTGGGGGGCCGCAGGTTGGACAGCCCTGCTTTAAGGCATCAATGTTTTGCTCTTTTATGTGAACAATAAAAGTTAAGTTTTAAATGAAGACAGTGAGTGCGGACCATCACTTGGGATATCTCTATATGTGAATGACCTGGATCTGGCACCCGGCATTTAGCACACTGGGAAGTACAGCCCGCAGTGCAAGGAACCCTTAGATGTATATACACATACACACACACACACACATTTATATATGTAGTGATGTAACTTTGCTTTCTTTGCACATTAAAAGCACTTATTCTTTTTAAGACCACGAGTGCACCCATTTTTTCAAATTTTGTATACTTTCGCAGGTCTGCACCTTGGTTTTATTCATTTGATTTACATGCCGGGAGAGTGCCAAGGATACCTGTATGTATATATATATATATATATATATATATATACACAAACACACACACACACACATACATATATATATGCACATACATACATATACATATATATATATATATATACATATATAAACAAAACACAAAATATTCCTTGCACTCATGTTGTAGATTGTAATGCCGGGGGCCAAAACCTTGGGGTTGATGTAACCAGAATTCCACAGATCAGGCTACACTCACAGACTTCATAAAATCCAAGAAGTTTATTGGATATACATTAAAAATATGATCACCATTCCTCAAGATCAAAAAAATATGTGTGTGTGTAAAATTACTGTAGTTTTATTATTAAATAGGAAAACTCTGCATATTTATTGTAAACAATACTTACACAGTACATACAGCAATTCACTACATTTTGAGCCCCCATTTGTCAAATAGTATAATGCATATATTGTTTCTTGTGAAAAAATAAATATTAATGGTTTTGCTGAAAGACTTCTGCTTGGGATCTTTGCAACACAATAGCATTTTAATCCCTAAAAACAGCTACATGTAATCCTAAGGGGCACTGTCACGCCGAACCTACCCCCCACCCCCCTATATATATATATATATATATATATACACACACACACACACACTTGCACTTTGAAAATTCACTTTAAAGCTGCATATTAAGGCTTTACAGTGTTACTAGGCATTTATTTTTATATGTCTAAGTATTTTGATACACTTAAGTGATGGATAGTCCGATGTACGTGTTCCCCTCATTTAGTTTGAGATTACTAATCAAGTCTTTATTCACTAAACTAGGAATTGTATATAAAATGCAAACTTTAGTCCAAAATAGATTAAATGTAATTATTTATCATCTCAACCATTTGTTTTTGGCTGTTTTGTACTACAATAAGAAACTTGCTCATCAGTGATACACAACACCTAATTTAATGACAATTAAATTAGGATTTTTTTTCAGCAGTTCTGATATGGGAGTTTATGAAATATGTTGTTCAAAATAGAAGGATTTAGAAAATACTGGGCCATCTATTATATGCTATGTATGCATGCTTCATTGACACACATTTTTGTCAAAGTTTTTTTAATGTAATCTACACACTTATTACAAGTGCACATAAAACTATTTTATAATTGTTTGTGTACTTTACAATAATCTGAGTATTTTACATTAATTCTGATGTTTACAAAAACAGTTTGTCCAGTTCATTTATGAGGGATCTCTATTTCAATATTAGTTAATCTTGGCTTGATTTAATTTGTTTGAATCAGCATTGGAAATATGCAATTCTGCTAGAAAAAAACCATTTTGAATTATTTTTCTACAGAAGTCACCAATACATTCTATGGGGATTTTTGTAAATAACTTTTTTGAAAAGTTTTTTTCTAACAGATTGGAACCATTTTTTTATGCTGATTCAAACTAATTAAATTCAGACAGCCAGTCCACATTTTATCTCAGTTGGGCCGTAATTTAATATTTTTGGATAAACATCTAAAATAGTCACAATCTGTTTGAAAAACTTTTCAAATGATTTAGCTACAAAAATCTCCACATACTTTAATGGTGACTTCTGTAAATAACACATCACTTGAAAAGCTTATCTAAAAATAATAAATCAAGGTCTTGGTTTAAAAAAAAGAAACCCATATTTATGTATTACCATATCAAGTTTTAGACAGTATTCATAGGCTGAAAGCTGTCAGCTGACACTCTCAGCCAGTGAGTACTAGCTAAACCTGGTGTAGAAGTAGCAACTTCTGCTTTATGAGACCAATTTAGGCCAGAAGGACCTCTGCATCCAACACAGTAAGCTAAGAGTCAAACATTTTTGTAAACAGTTTGACAATTACGGGCAGACAGTATCTGAGGACACCTTACACCACATTCCTGACATTGTGGTGTTGTAGTTTTGGTGCTTGGAGCATCCTTTTAATAATAGATTGCTTCATTGTTTAGATCAGGGGTTTCAAACCCAGTCCTCAAGTACCCCTGACCAGTCCTGGATTTAGTCCCACTAACAGTCTAGGATTTTCAAGTACCCCCTACCAGTCCCGGATTTAGTCCCACTAACAGTCCAGGATTTAGGGATTATCCAGTTGTGTCTAAAGTGTTTTTTTGTTTTTTTTCTAAAAACACCTTAGACACAACTGGGTAATCCCTAAATCTTGGACTGTTAGTGGGTACTTGAGGACTGGGTGGGAAACCCCCGGTTTAGATAAATGATACCCGAAGTTGTAGATCATCAAATGACTATAGCCTCAATTTAATTTGTTTGAATCAGAATTGGAATTTATTCCATTCTGTTAGGAAACATGTTTCAAATGAGTATCTACAAAAAGTTCTCATAGACTTTAAAAGAACACTTCACTGCCAAAATAGAGAGAAAGAAATGAATTACCCAATGAAAACATGATAATCCTCCAAAGAAAAATGGATGCATTTAATTATGCATTTACTTTATTTGGGGGTATATCTAAAAACAACTTGCATTAGTTGCAGATTTCTTTGTTTGCAACTGTTGCAAGCTGTCCTATTTGCCCAACTCATGCTTTCTGTGGCTGGGCACAGACTTCCCAAAACTCAAAGAGAAGTTTCTCTAGGTAATTATTCTGTAGCTAAATCATAAACATTTGGAATAATTTCTGATTTAAACTAATTAAATTGAGGCCTATATTAGAACACTCTTAATATTAATTATCCAGTATGTAGTAGCTTGCAAAGCTTGTGTAATACATACCAACCAACATGTCAAATGAAAAAATAGAGACACTTTAATTTTAGGAGTGTGAGTGGAGGTGTGGTCAGAGGTAGGGCTTCACTGAGCATGTTTTTGTAACTTGCTAATTGTAATTTATATGTAACTAAAATGTAATTTTAAGAAGAACAATGCTTCTTTCTAAACACATTTCTTGTAGTTTAAAACACTTTTAAAAATGTTATTACTGTGGAGTTCCATCATATACTCAGGCACACTAACATTTTGGAGCTCTTAGAAATGAGGGACGTTGGTATAGAAAATAGATTTGGGGAGACACTCTTACATCTGCTCTGAGAGGGCATTCTGTGACACATAGTTATAAATATACGTATGAAATCTTTTAGCTGAGCACGAAAACTTTCATGAACTGTCTAGTGAGTTTACAAAAGAAGAGGTTCTATTTCAACTGTCAAAAGTAAAGACAAATACGTCAAGTCAATGGGACCTGCTGGAATACACCCAAAGTTATTAAAAGAGCTTAGTGGTGTACTAGCATAACCATTTACAGATTTATTTAACCAATCATTGTTAACGGGAGTAGTCCCAGAAGATTGGAAGTTAGAGAATGTTGTGCCCATTCACAAGAAAGGTAGTACGGAGGAGTCGGACAACTATAGGCCAGTAAATCTTACTTCAGTAGTGGGGAAAGTAATGGAAACCATGTTAAAAGATAGGATTGTTGAACATCTAAAATCACATGGATTTCAAGATCAGAGACAACATGGGGTTACTTCAGGGAGATCATGCCAAACTAATCTTGTTAATTTTTTTGATTGGGTAACTAAAATAATAGATCAGGGTGGTGCAGTAGACATTGTTTACCTAGATTTCAGTAAGGCTTTTGACACTGTTGCACATAGAAGGCTTATCAATAATGGCTGAGTGACAGGTAACAGAGGGTTGTAGTCAATGGAGTATATTCGAAGCATGGGCTTGTCACCAGTGGGGTACCTCAGGGATGTACTTTGACCCATTCTCTTTAATATTTTTATTAGTGATACTGCAGAAGGTCTTGATGGTAAGGTATGTATTTTTGCTGATGATACTAAGATATGTAACAGGGTTGATGTTCCAGGAGGGATAATCCAAATGGCAAATGATTTAGGTAAACTAGAAAAATGGTCAGAGTTGTGGCAGTCCTAACCTCAACATCTGAGGAAAGGGATTAAGGGGTGATTATTTCCGATTACTTAAAGGTAGGCAGACAATGTAATAGAGCAGCAGGAAATGCTAGCAGAATGCTTGGTTGTATAGGGAGAGGCATTAGCAGTAAAAAGAGGGAAGTGCTCATGCCATTGTACAGAACACTGAGGAGACCTCACTTGAAGTATTGTATGCAGTACTGGAGACCGTATCTCCAGAAGGATATTGATACTTTAGAAACAGTTCAGAGAAGGGCTACTAAACTGGTTCATGGATTGCAGGATAACACTTACCAGGAAAGGTTAAAGGATCTTAACAAGTATAGCTTGGAGGAAAGACAAGACAGGGGGGATATGATAGAAACATTTAAATACATAAAGTGAATCAACACAGTAAAGGAGGAGACTATATTTAAAAGAAGAAAAACTACCACAACAAGAGGACATAGTCTTAAATTAGAGGGGCAAATGTTTACAGATAATATCAGGAAGTATTACTTTACTAAGAGGGGAGTGGATGCATGGAATAGCCTTCCAGCTGAAGTGGTAGAGGTTAACACATGCTTGGGATACGCATTCTATGTTTCTATACAATATACCCCTTGATACCCCGATGTTTATAAGGTAAGCGTTATTCTCAAGCGCTTCATTAACACTCTTTGTTTTTTTGGTAGGTCTTATTACCTAAACATTTAATTTGTATTTGGTATTTCTGTATATGTGGATTTTTGGGGAGTGTCCACGGATTGTTGTTTTACCATTTCATAACTGTTAAGCACCTTTTTTCACACATTGTATCATTTTTTTACCCCGCCTAGAGTGGCCCACTGAAAAGTATCTCGATGGGTCAGTCCAGCTCTGCAGTACGGACAGTTCACTGTCACCTAAACAATTGTGTGGTGTACACTAAGCGGCCACCTGTACCACCTTAGGTAGCACTGGGCCTACTTTATAAATGAAGACCTCAGAGTTCTGATTTTTTTTCTCCAAATATTTTGTACGTCTTAACTGAAGTTGAAAAAAAGACTAAATGGTAGTTACGTATAAAACATTATCAAATGAGTGGCAATCATCATGGAAACCAGTTGAACTAGCATTTACAGTCTATTGTTAACTACTCCATTTTTACTTTTTATACATAACTCCCAATGTCTTTGTAGCTCAACCTTTTCTTTTGGAGTGCAAAAGCTAGTGACTCCTCGGATAAGCGGAATTTTGGTGGTGAAACTCCAGACCCATACACTGCAAATTACTTGAGTTGACTGACATTTATATTCTGATAATATTTATCTATTCATTTTTGATCTGCTGCAACTTTGCGGTGTTCAGTGAGCCACAGATATTCTTCTTGAACTGTTACATGGTATGCACGGTCTATAAAACGTGAAGTGCAAAATATAATTTTGATACTGTATATACAAATCTGACATATGAGGGGCCGATATATGTCCATTGTTAGCAGTCCCTCTATGCCTCACTAGTAATAGGATGAGTTTTATGTGCACCATGACACATAGGCAGTGGCACATTATACCTATTTCTCTCCATCATTCAATCTATTTCTATGCTTTGGCCTGCTTGTGAAGATGGGTGTAATGTGCTTAAAATGTCCAGTTTATAAAAGCACAGGCTAACGCTCTTTGAATAGCAAGATACCAGAATAACAAACAAAATTGCATAATTAGGTCCACAGTAATTATCACCTCCAGGCCTACGATGCCTTCCAGTGCTGGAGACCATTTTTTCTCTAGTGTTAATGTACCAGAAATAAATATGAATGATTTTACATGAAGAATAAATTGGTTTGACAGTAAAATAATAATTTTAGTACTATACAAAATTTAACTGATCCAACAAAGTCATACACTACTCACTTAAATCTGTACTTTAACATACTAATCATTGTTACACACTGCTCATTCTACTCACTCTTCACTATCACATACACTGTACAGAGCCCCAGTTTTTGCTATTTTCTCCTCCGTGAGAAGATGGGAAAACCACTCTTCCACCCACATATTACAGATACTGGTGTAGTCTAAATAATTGCTAAATTGCAGATGGGTGTCAATAAGAGTTCTTAGCATATATATTAGGTAATATGAACATGATGTAAATATATAATCACAAATATAAATACCGTAAATGGCCTTTCCTTAATAGCAGAGATTTTACCATGCATGTAGGTAGTTGTTCAAATCATTAGGCATAATAGCAGATAATTGTTTCTTGGTTAGCATTTTGCTTTAGAATAGCTCTTGTTTTTACAAGGTGAATATGCACCATTATTCATAAGTGGAACTGTCCCACATCTGGCAAAACTGTCTTGACAGTCACACTGTCTTAAGAACTATAAAATGTAGCTCTATTGTACTAGATCAGGGGTAGTCAACCTTTTAATACCTACTGCTCACTTTTGTATCCTTGTTGATGTTAAAATTCCCTTCACCAGTGCCGCAGTAACTAATTTTAAAGCGCAAGTGCGGTGCTGTGTGTTTGTGAGTGTGTGCACTGGTATACACACCGCGGTCACAGCTGCGACCGAGCCCGTCACTCTAGGGGGCCTGGCCGCTCTGTGGACCCCTGCGACCGGGTACCCGCCGCCATCTTTTGCGGCCCGGGGCTGACGTCCAAGGGGTCCATCGGGTGGACCATGCTGTTAGGGCCACCCAATGGAAATGGATTGTAAGGGGGCCCAGTCAGCGTTGGGCACTTTAAAAGCACGACTGGGCCCCCTTTGATGATGTCAGACATAGCTGAGAGTAAGTGACTGCACGTCACTCCTCCCAGCTATCAGAGAGGGAGGAAGGAGGAGCCTACCATCAGGCTGAGCCCACACTGGACTCCAGGGAAGTCACCCTCCTGAAAAAGGTAGGAAATAGGGGGTTGTGTCTGTATGTGTGTGTGTGTATGTATGTATGTATGTGTCTGTTAGGGGTGTCTGTCTGTATGTCTGTGTGTATGTATGTATGTATATATGTATGTGTCTGTGTCTCTGTGTGTATGTGTCTCTGTGTGTGTGTATCTGTATGTATGTGTCTGTATACTACAGATACATACAGAGACACATACAGACACATACATACAGAGATGCACACATACATACAGACTATATGTGTATGTATGTGTGTGTGTCTCTGTATGTATGTGTCTGTGTGTATGTCCGTCGGGGGGGGGTGTGTGTGTCTGTATGTGTGTATGTCTGTGTGTGTGTGTGTATGTACATATGTGTCTGTCGGGGGGGGGAAAGTGTGTGTGTGTGTCAGTGTGTGTATATATGTGTCTGTCTTTATGTATCTGTTTGTGTGTATATATGTGTCTGTCTGTGTCTATGTGTTTGTATGTATGTATGTGTACCTCTATGTATGTGTCGGGGTGTGGAGTGGCCCACGGATCAGTTTCACACTTGGGCCCCATATATTGTGTGTACGCCACTGTGTGTGTGTGTGTGTGTTCGAGAGGTGCAGTGTGTGTGAGGGGGCAGAAGGTGTGTGATTGGGTGGTGTGTGTGTGAGGGGGTGGTTAGTGTGTGAGGGATTAGTGTGTGTTTGTGTGTAAAGGATGCATAGGGTCTATGCTGTATATAGGTGGGTAAGATGTGAAAAATCTATCTTAATGTCTCCCACTCTCTTCTTCTTATGTTTTGCCAGGGAGGAGGGGCATAATGCTGCAAGCACTGGTGGTCCAGTGGTGGCATGTTCAGCCTCCGGCTGCAGACTGACTCTCCTGTCCTCCTGCGAGCACAGCACTGTATCGGAGTGATGCCATGGTAATGAACGGCAATGCTGCTCGCGGGAGGAACACAGAGCCTCCCAGGCTTTTTCCTCCCTCTGGAGAAAAGGTTCCCCTGCTGCAACTAAGTGCCAGCGGGCCGGTGAGGGAGATCTATGATCTCCTCACCAGCCCGAGAGGGCTTACAGCAAGGCTGGCTCTGCTTGGGCCGGCAGGGGAGATGACCTTGAACCTTGGGCCAGACTTGGTCCACGGCCATCGAGGCCCACTGGCCATTTTCTGCAGAACCCACCACCTCCCACCTGAAATCAGAAACCACCCACTATTGGGCGGTAGGAACCAGGTTGACTACCCCTGTATTAGATACATATGGTTGCATAGCTGCGTCAGACTCTTTGCTGTGCAGCCTGTCAACCGATTGCACATACATGCTGTGATGACATTTGCCCTTTTTGACTCTGGACATCACTACTGGATACAAAGTGCATCATTGGCAGTTTCCCATAACACCCTTAAAGTCAGCACTACAATAAACTTGGAGAGGATTCACTTCAATGAACACTATTACCAAATTAACTCAATACATGTCAGTACTGGTCCCCACCATTGCCTACTTCACACCTGTCAATATAGTCAGGTACGGTCAGTGAAGGGATTCACTGTTGGTTTGGAATGGAGTCATTAACATGCTCGTCTGTGTGTCTGGAAAATTATCCAGAAATTTATTTTAGGAGGTTTCACCTTTGTGTGATTGCACCAGTGTCTTCATGTGAATCAGTAAAGCACAAAAATCCACTACTGTTTTTTTTGTTTTGTTTTTAAAAGCAGCTTAGTAGTTTCAAATGTATTTTATAACATAGTTGCACCATAGTTGCAGACATGGCTTGCGGTTCACTTTTTACCTGTACACTGTATAAAATGCATTATAAATAAGTGCACAAAATGTGCATTGTGTAATGGGTTTCAAAACCAGGCAGGCTGCTACTATTGAAAATATTGTAGTAAATGTTAAATAGCATTTTTTTATGTTCTGTTGAATAAAATATTTTTCAAGTGACAAGTCACATTAACTAGGTATTGTTACAATGTGTTATGAGATTTAAATTGCAATGTTACTAAAGTAGCAAGCACAAAATGAATAATTTTTATCACTTAAGAAAGTTACTTATCAGTGCTTATGGGGGCTAACAATCCTACATTTACTGGTGCCTAGCTGAGGGCAATCTTTCAACTGCAAACTGTGCAAATTTGAGAACGATTAAATGCCCAAACACAAAAGTCATCAGAGTTTCTTTTGCTATATGGTACTGGTGAGAAATAATACAATTTACAATTAGTGATCGTCACATTTGCTGTGTAAGATAAAAAAAAAAAAAGTAATAAAAATAAATATCTGATTCTATAAAGTATATAGAAAGAACAATAACGCTAATATTCTGTAATACATTGGGTAACAATTTTAAAGTTTTAAAAATACATTTTATGAGACATATAAACATTCATCTCTCATAACTATTTCACTGGGTATTAACAGAGCAGCACAGAAACATAAATTGCGAAAATTTGCTGTGTAAAAAAAGAAAATAGAAAAAAACCTTACCACCACCTTTGTCAAATCTTTCATCGAGAGCCATGTTAGCTGCCATCAGGGACAAGGTTCCTGCAAACATGTTTGTTTTTTGTTTATTTGGCTTTTTCTTAACTTTTTTTTTTCTAAACAGCACCAATGTTAAGTGTTTATAATGCTAACATCCATAAAAAGAGTCACAACCAAAATGCCAGTTTAAACCAAAGTCATGTTATTTATTTTGTAGATGGAAAAATATATACTTTCTACAAGTTAAATAGATCATAATAAAATGTTAAAAGATTCTTAGTGATAAAAAGTGTTTTGTTTTTTTCTCCTACAGTAGAATCATTAGCTAGGGTTTAAAATGCAATATCCCTAACATTGTTTGAAACATCCCCAGATGTTTGGTTTACTGGGAACCTGATCATATTGCAAAATGTAATGCAGTGCTGATTACTTAAAAAAAAATGCATGGACATGGACCCTACAGGAATGTATGTGAAAGCCATTGTCAACTTTTTCCTACTACAAACAAAAACATTTATTGTGTACATTTTTGTTGAAGCATGGAATATTCTCAAACTTTTCCATTTTATTTTTTTGTTATCTAAATGCAGCAAATCCTACTTGTCAAGATTTGCTTCAATAAAATATCTCGATCACAGAGGACGCATATACTTTGATGGCAGTTAAAATGTTCAGTATTTACAGTCAATGTATGCAAGGAGTTATTAAATAAATCCTCAGGAAACTCCTAATGGTAGCGCTTAGTACTTATCATTGGATTATTGGATGGATTTGTATTCCATAATGCAGAATTATAATTTCTGCATTATTGGTTTAACCAATAAAGGGGTGAAATATGGGTGCTGGGGTCAGCCCCAGTTTTTTTTCAAACTACACCAAAATGGAATGCCAGGGCTCACTGGCTCGTAGCATCATAATCTCTACAATGAGCTATAGTGGTTTTGGCTCTTAGAGAGCCCCTTCAATATTGGGAGTTATTTTTGTCTTAGTCCATCATGGTTCCCTGAGGAGTTGCATTAGAACACGTTTTATGAGATCCGCATTCTAACATTGACCTACAGACTCATAAATATATCCACAAAACTATGAATCCTAAACATCATGCTATACAAAGAGTAAAGAATTAATAATAAAAACATTTTAAATAAAAAAAAATTAAAAAGCCGGGTTCCTATTCCATAGACAAACAAAACGTTCAACAAGAATATGAAAGAAATCAAGTGTCTAAAATACCCCTAGCTGAAAACAGGCTCTACAAAATAGAGTACCCACTGAGTGCTTATTTTCTTCTGAACCCTAATATCCCAACTTCTTCCAGCAAAAGCCATCCCATATGAAACACGTGTTAACTTCCCACCAGATGCCTTCTGAAAGTGCACCAAACACCATATTTCCCCATCCTATTATCACCATGAACACTTAAAAAATAAAAAAAAAAACACAAAAGAGACATTAAAAATGAAAATAGTTTACAGTTTTGTACAAACCGTCCTGGAAATTTAAAGAAAAAAAATGTAAAAAAAAAATAAAAATGAAAATTATTTATATATATATTAGATATATATAAAATCTTTATTTCATGCCAGAGCCAAACATGTTATTATTGTGGGGGCACACATTTATTTTTTGTGTTTTTATGTTTTTAATTATTAAATGTAATTTTGTTTGGAGATGGAAGGCAGGGAATTGTATTTAAGGGATGGGGGGTGTCAAGGGGTGGGGGTTAATGCTGGTGGTTTGAGATTTAAAAAAAAATATTTTTATGATGTTTGTTAGGTATTAATGTATTTGCAAGCTGTAAATTGTTTCTAAATGTTTTGGTTTCATTTTTTTTTCCTTTGCATTTTTCTCCTGGACATCAAAATAAAAATAAATTTTAAAAAAGTAAAATTTAAGGGAAAAAAAATAAATACATGTTTGATTTTTCTCTCCGACTCTTGTTGTTGAAATGTAATTTAGTTGGCTGTGAAGGAACTCCATGTCTGTTGCAATGTGTTTACTTCGTTTTCAGGTAGAATTTAAATTAATTATTCATTCAAAAAGTAACCACTACTAAAGATCAATCATTTCATAAAACAAATGTAGATTTGGACACGAATCATAAGTCAATTTGAATATGATATAGTTGTGTATGGTAATCTATCCTCCATAAATTTTCATTATCTCTAAGAAATAGTTATAGCTCCATTGATATATAAAAATAACAGCAGGCAATACAATTAGCAGCAATTGTAATAGGCAGTTATGCTACACTATGTGACAGTCTGGGTACTATTGACTGCAACAAACTAAAAAAGAAAAAAGTAGTGGGAAACAAAACAATTGTTGGAAATCTAATCATGTATAGGAGTGTGCCCTACATTCAGTGTTGTATTTGAGCAATAAATACTGTTTCTTTAAATGCAATGTTTTACATGTTTCTGCACACACTTCATGTGACCAACATACCTTTGTAAAAAACGTTGTAAAAATTTGATCCGAATAAAAGTTCATACCCAAGAATTTCACATGTAGATTAGAGCCTGCAGACAACTTCCAAAAAAGCATAAGGTGTTTCACATCCCATAGTTCACTTACTCATATGACGACATAAGACTGAAATAAAGTCTTCAAGAATAGGCAGTCAAAAAGTGCATGTTATATAATTACACCTGAGCAGTCTATTAACCCAACATTATACAAAAGGTGGTAATGGAATATCTGTAATGCAAATACTCATGACATTTTCAAAATGACAGTCTTAACGTAGTTTGCATTTGTTACTAGTTACTGCAAACAAGTGCATATACTTGCTTTATTTCTGAATGTCCATCTATTCATTAAAAACCACTACTTATGAACACCAAGTGATCTGAGAGGCACAGCCAAGTTTCCTACTAATGCAAAACATATTTCTTCAAGCACAGATCAGTTCTGGCTGTGAGATAAATAGAGTTGAGCGGACACCTGGATGTTTGGGTCCTGTGGGTTCAGCCGAACTTTGAAAGAAAGTCCGGGTTCGGGATCGAACTTGACCCCGAACCTCGTTGAAGTCAGTGGAGACCCGAACTTTTGGGCACAAAAATGCCTCTAAAAAAGACATGGAAAGGGCTAGAGGGCTGCAAAAGGTAGTAAAATGGGGGTAAGAGTAGGACAAGTGCCCTGCAAACAAATGTGGATAGGGAAATCACTTAAGATAACAAAAATTTAAAATACAGCTGAGCCACAAAATAGCACTAGATGGAATCTTTGATTTTAGCTTTGGAAGAACATAAATCTAAATCTAAAGCATAGCTGTCAGGAGGATCATCAGAATTATCCATTTGAGAGAGGGTTGGAGTGCAGGGTATTCTCTTTCATTGTTCAAACTGAGCTCAACTCCTGATGCATGGAGAAAAGGCCTTCACAAACCTCTGCTATTGTGTACATAGTTTATACTAAGTGACCCATAGGTTGAGGAGGCGGTGACCGTGGCAGTGGAGGTGGAAGCAGCGGTGGAGGAGGAGGAGGTAGCCAACACTGTTATATAAATATATATATTTTTTTAATTGGGGTAGCCCCCAAAATATTGGGACATATAAAAAAAAGAAAACAAAGAATAAGTGCACTTGAGTATAACAATGGCTGGGTGAGGACGGTATAAATGTCTATTTTGCACAAGGTACAGACAAGTATGGTGGGATCCATGCCTGGTTCATTTTAATAAACGTGAGCTTGTCCACGTTGGCTGTGGACAGGCGGCTGTGCTTGTCCGTGATAACGCCCCCTGCCATGCTAAACACACGTTCAGACAATACACTGGCTGCAGGGCAGGCCAGCACCTCCAAGGCATAAAGGGCAAGCTCAGGCCATGTGCCCAATTTGGAGACCCAGAAGTTGAATGGCAGACCCATCAGTCAGTACGTGCACACGTACTGTTCCACCATGTTGCTGAAATGCTGCCTCCTGCTAAGACGTTCCATATCAGATGGTGGCGCTGGTTGTTGTGGCGTACCGACAAAGCTTTTCCACATTTTGGCCATGCTAACCCTGCCTTCTGAGGTGCTGGCAATACCTCAGGTGCGTTGGCGACCTCATCCTCCTCCTCTGCCTTCACCTTGTGCTTCCACTGAGCTCCCAGTGTCAGTTGGGAATGCCCTCAGCAGCGCGTCTACCAGCGTGCGCTGGTAGTCGCGCATCTTCCGATCACGCTACAGTGAGGGAATTAAGGATGACACTTTGTCCTTGTAATGGGGATCCAGCAGTTGTTGCGCAGGCACTGCAGCATGTAGTCGCTCATGTGTAGAACAGAAGAAAGGGATCAGCGCTCTCTATCTATACAAAATACAACTGAAACAATAATAAATAAGTAAAAAGTGGCAGCACACCTAAAAAGTAGGGCTCCCTCACAGGCCTTACAACAGAAATGGTAGAGAAAAAAGAAAGGAAGGCAGCGCCACTATAAACCACATAAATTAAAAGAGCACAGAATAGGCAGACTAGAATGCAATATATATGATAGATAATAAGCAAATAGAAGTCCAGAATAAATAGTCTGACTGGTAGATGAATCAAACAAATATCTTTGTAGAGGTGAATACAGTCTTTTGTAGTGGGGGATTCTTCAGAGTGGTGTAGATGCGTCTTTGTACATCATATGAAATGAGAAAATAACAACTGATGGTATAGTATGTCCCGAAAGGGGTAGAAGCAATAAAAGAGTATATGGTCCTACTCACGTTTTCAAGAGCTATGGACTTAGCTCTAGTGTTGATAACGTACAGTGGTATAATCCCCACTTATGGGATACGTGAGGTCTTAGTATTCTTTCTTGATTAGGGAACCATATGTGGAAATAAAAGCAGGAACAACAATGGTGCTCAAAGTATAAAATGCCAGAGGTGAGAAGATATAAAACCAAGTGGTTACTCACATTTAGTTGAACAGACTGACTGTTCAATGAATACAGCTTGAGTGGTATAATCCCCACCTAGGATTCTTGGGAGTAATATCCTCACTGGAAAGTAAAAACACTTCTGTGCCGGATAAAAGGATGGTAGTAATAAAAAAGTAAAATAATAATAGTAATAAAAAGTAAGATGGCTAACTCACAGTAAGAAAGTGGCCAAAATACCTTTATTTAAAACAATATAGTTTAAAAAACCACAACGCGTTTCGCCCTTAGGCTTTATCAAGTGGAGATCAGAAAGTACATCCTGTTACATACAGGTTTATATAGGCAGTGAACATATTAGAAAATGGCGCCAAAATGATGTCATAATTTTTTTTTTTTTTTTTCAAAAGTGCTAAATTTTATATGTGTAAGTGAGTACATACCTATATGTGAAACATGTGATAGTTTAAAATTAAAAACGAGGTTTTAAACTCACAATACCTTACATATTCTATTTAGATACAACAGTCACATGATCGGTTGCCATTTTTTTTTTTTTTCAAAAGTGCTAAACTTTATATGTATCAGTGAATACAAACCTATATTGGAGACATGTGATAGTCTAAAATTTAAATTAAAAACAAGGTTTTATACTCACAATACCTTGCATATTATTTAAATAGAACAGTCATGTATATAAGTCACATTGTATAAATATGTACTTCATGCACAAAATAATTATAGAAGATAATAAAATATAAGAAATATATTATAAAAAATTAATTATAAAAAATTATAAAAAATTATAAAAAATTAAACAGGTCGAACTCTACATTAAGACCTTCGGGGGTAAGGGTTTTTAAAAGGAACACCCAGTGCATTTCTTTTTGTCCCAGTAATTTTTTGAGGTCACCTCCCCTCCAGGGTAATTTACATCTTTGGATCCCAGTACATTTTAAAAATTTAGGGTCTTTGTTGTGTTGAATAAAATGCTTTGAAACAGAGTGATTAGGGTAGCCTTTGATAATATTTCTACAATGTTCTGCTAACCTTATTTTTAAGCATCGTGTGGTCATACCCACATACTGGAGGCCACATGGGCACTCCAATAGGTATACAACATTCTTAGTAGTGCAACATATTAAATCTTTGATAGGGTATGTAATACCGGTTTTGTTTGAGGTGAATTGTGTTGTCTTTGATGTGCTGTTTTGGTCAGTGGATCTGCAGACAATGCATCTGTTGCATTTGAAAAAACCTTTAGAATTTGATAAAAATGATGGATTGCTTGTATTGGCTTTTTTTGTATAATTTTTAGTAAGCATTGTCTTTAGGTTTGGGGCCCCTCTAAAAATGATATGGGGTTTATCTGGGATGAGTGTCTTTAAAATTTTGTCTTGTTTTAAAATGTGCCAGTGTTTTTGAATAGTTTTTTTCACAATTTTATTCTTATTTTTAAAGTTAAAGATGATCGGCATGGATGGTGGGTCTTTATTTTTATTCGTATTATATTCTAAAAGCTCGAGTCTTTCTTTTTGTTTCACTGCTTTGAGGGATTCTTCTAGCTTTTCTTTTGGGTAATTTTTACTGATAAATTGAGCTTCTAGTGTTCTAGCTTGTTCGTCAAAATCTGTATTAAGGGAACAGTTCCTGCGAAGACGTAGGAACTGACCTTTAGGGACCCCATCTAACCATGGTTGGTAGTGGCAGCTTGATCTGTCAATGACTGTGTTGGTGCACACTTTTTTTAAAAAAAGTTCTAGTGTTAATATTCCCATCCTGGATAAAAATTTGGATGTCTAAAAAATTTATTAAATCTTTGCTGTGTTCTGATGTTAAAATGATGCCACTATTGTTGTTGTTTAGATGATTTAAAAAAAGTTTAAGTGAGGTTTCAGGACCTTTCCAGATAAAAAACAAATCGTCTATGTATCTAAAATAGGATACTAGGTTTGCTTTCCAGGGGTGATCTCCCCAGATTGCTTTAGACTCCCAATTGTCCATAAAAAGATTGGCATAACTTGGTGCAAACCTAGTACCCATAGCTGTGCCTTGTCTTTGAATGTAAAAAGTGTCTAAAAACCAAAAATAGTTATTTGTTAAAATAATTTTTATCCCTTCTAAGATAAAATTAATTTGTTTTTCTGGAATTTTATTATCCGTTTTTAATCTATTTAAAACTGCTTCACACCCTAATTCGTGGGGGATTATGGTGTACAAAGACTGGACATCACAAGTGACTAGATTTTTTATAATTAATTTTTTATAATATATTTCTTATATTTTATTATCTTCTATAATTATTTTGTGCATGAAGTACATATTTATACAATGTGACTTATATACGTGACTGTTCTATTTAAATAATATGCAAGGTATTGTGAGTATAAAACCTTGTTTTTAATTTAAATTTTAGACTATCACATGTCTCCAATATAGGTTTGTATTCACTGATACATATAAAGTTTAGCACTTTTGAAAAAAAAAAAAATGGCAACCGAT